CAGAAACAATACTCAAAAAGTCATGATGCACAAATAAATTATTCACGGACAAAATTTCATAAGGTAAAATAAACAAATTACTTATTATGAACTGGTGTTACACGCAATCTGCAGCTTGCGTGCAACAAAATAAAGTTAAATATCAACTCTAAAATCTTAAACCTAAATTCTAAAATATAAATCTAAACTCTAAAATGTAAATTGTAAAATCTAAATCTAACTATGGGCCCACGCCTATTCCAGCCACTGGAAAAGAGAGCAATCCGGGTCGAACTAACCAGACCGAATACCGGGACTCATCCCTATTCGCAAGTCTTGTCCGCCCTACTCACAAAGCGCCCAGGTGGTAAACTCATACCTTAGCAACCACCACACGCCTTTTCCAGCTATCATACTAACGTATACCTTGAAAAAGAGAGTACCGGGTAGAACTAACCCTACTCCTTTTTCCAATCCTAATTCCCGTTTGAATCTACCATAACCAAAATCCATAGCTTGCCAAACCTAGCTATTCCACAGTACTTGTTCTTTGACCGTGCATATCATCCTAGGCATTCTAACTTCATATCAACCAATCCTCAGCTGCTTAGAAATTCAAATGAACCTGTCTACCTTGGATATTGATTGGATCCTATTAGCTGTGTCGAAGTGATCCTTAATAGATCTAACGCTAAATATAGTAGTATAGTAACGCTAAATATAATAATATATATTCTACGCATCCAATTTTTCTTTATTCCCTTGATATTTCGCATAATTCGCTACTAATTTACGCCAAAACTCGCTAACGCCGACTTTATCATTTACGCCCGGAGGGATAAACGCAACTTGTCCAGATACGCTCATTTTGCTCCTAGTGCTTAGTTCCACGCAATCCAAACTGAATGTTTGAAACATTTTCAACCTAGATATCGTAATGCAACTTGTTACACTTACTAGAGATTATGCCTCTCTATCTACTTGTCCCATTCCACGTGGATGTCCAACAGTATTCAGGTAGTGAGATATGGCTAGTTTATATTGAAAGTACTCGTTTTTTTAGGTAAAAGGGTACCCCTAGATAATTACTTTATTCGGGGTTGTAAAACTCATATATTTACGCATAAAGATTTAAGTACATACCTAGGTAGCTTAGTTTATGTATTTTGAATTAAAATAATATTACCGCTTTATTTATTTTTGTTAACGCATAATATGAAAAGTGTATGCATTTTATATAAGATTAAGATAATCGGATTTGCTAGTTGTATATTAACTATTAAACATTTTTGTTAAAAACTATTTAAACATGTTTTTACCGAAACAATATGTTATTTCCGAGAATATTTATTTTATGTCGTCCTTTAGTAGTTTGTTTTCGAAATATCTACAGCGTGTTGTGAAATCTACTACATAATAGTACTCTGGCGCCTAGAATTTGACTCATCTGGACATTTACTTTTATTTCTAATTAAAAGAAATTACGCTTTTATTAAAAAGTAGCCCTGTGTACTTTAATAAACGCTTCGTTCTCATCTTCTACAAAATTTTACACAACTATTTTAACACTCACAATGTGTCAATTTATTACAACACTATTCGAAGGGTTATTTGCTATTAATTACGGCGTATACAAAGATAAAGTTCCTGAAATACTGGCGAAATGCCTGAATTAAACTGAAAAACTCTGAAATATAATGAGGTGGTTAAAATTAATTATAATAATTGAAAAACTAATGTAATACTTATAAATTATGTGAATTTTTGATATAATTCTCAAGTGAATTTGCAAAACCTGAAGTTCGGAACATATTTAACTATTCTACAACCATGTATTTATTCAACTACATAAATAGGTACAAAACAAAATAACTTTCTTAAAGACTACGTTAAAAACAGCATCTTAAAACGAATTTTCAAATATTAGATCGAAAATGCGTGTATACTAGGAGGATTATGAGTCTATAATGAATTAATATTAGATATGCCTTAATAAACGTTTGATTTCATAAATATTCAACTTTAAATTTTACATATCTACTATTTCTCTCTTGTATTTCTAATCACTAAAGATAATTACCCAGTACATTCATGTAATACCTAGTATATTACTGATATACCTAGCAATACCTACTAGACTACCTAAAGTTGAAAGTTTCAGTAAATTAAAAATATAGCTGAAATATTAATAACATCTATAACTAAACTTAAAGTAATGAAATAAGTAATAAGTAAAATGGGGTATAATTAAAAATGTATATATGAAAAATATAAATTATACATTTATGAAACAATCGATAGTAGGTACTTCTGAAAAACTGAAAAACTTTTGAAGACTTTTTTTTACCTTTCCACATAAAATGTCTTGAATATACCTGTATATACTTGATATATTTTTTTATTTACCTAATAAACAATGAAAATATTAAATTAGTGTTCGACTTTTGTTTAATATTTTTAATTAAAAAGAGCAACAAAATATTTCTACGCACAAAAATAAAAATCATGTTTGAAAACCACCGTTCCACGTTTCGGCTTGATCAAGAAGTTTAATGAGAATAAAATAACACATACTCAACATAACTAAATACTAAATAACACATAACTCTAGAAATTTTATTCCTCAGGAGGACCATAGATAGATATTTATTTAACTGTTAATTTTAACAATAAAATTTTACTTTTACGTGAAAAACTGTCTGTTTATGCCGAGGTTCGCATCCATCTTCTTTCGCAAGCGAAATCGACCCTTATCAACAGGCTACGGTAGCGCCCTCTCTTCGAGACCTCTTGAACCACAAGGCGATTTATATCACCGAAATCCGAAATCGAAAAATCCGAACAATTACTTTAAACTCAAATCTGTCTCCATGACAACTTTTTTACTGTATAAAAATACTACCTTAGAATTTATATCGTAATTACCTTAGTATTTATCTCGATTTTTTTCTAGCCATTTTTAAAATACCTTTTAGAAGAGATTTGTTCAGATAATGTGTTGGCTCACTACCTTTTCCTGTTATCTGCCGGAGTCTGTAATTTGTAGGGGTGATATGACGCTGCTTTTTTTTCGCTATTACCTTCGAGCACTAGACCTAGCAGGATGATCCCTCCGGCTTTCTTTTCGCGCTTCGCCGATCCGACGACGGTATCCCAAATCCGACGGCGACGGGTACCCGTATCTGAGACGATCGATCACCGAATCGATCCTCGAAACCGACGCATTTACGAAACGATATGGTCAAAGGTCAAAGTCAAGTCAATAGTCGTCAGTAAGTCAGAAATACGCCGTTACGGCCTAAGAACGCTGGATTAAACTCATCGTCACTTCTGATGTAATCGGGAGATTAATATATTTAACAGAAATTGATATTTAAAATATAATTCTAACTAGCTTGACAAACAATGTCTTCTCTCGGCCGAAATCAACAATCTCTGACATTCAACTGTTTCCAAAGCCTACCACTCCGCTACTCCCAAACTTCAGCGGTCACGGGGTGCAGGCGCGGCGTGAAAATGACTGCCTATCATAAGGATCATAGGCGTCGATAACACATGTTACTAAATTTTTTACCGAAAAATTGTCTCTTGGTAAAAATCGCTACGATCAACCGTTCACAAAATATTGAGAATGGAACAGTATTGAGAACAGTCAATACATGTCATTATTGACGAAAAATAAATATGTTGAGTATAACTCAAAATATTTATTTTTTACCGCTACTGCTTTTGCGGGACAATTTTAAGTTAATCTGGTGTTGCAAAATCACAGTCTCCCAATGTAAGAAAAATATGTTTTATTTATATAACTTTCGTTCGCGCTAAAAATTCACTATTTTATTCTATAATATTTGACTGAAATGATAAATTTGGGAACTTTTTATTTTTTAAATTAATTATAAATTTTTCTTCGAAAAAATTATGATAAAACTCTAATAACATGTTTAATTTATGTCAATGATGACAGGTATTAATAATTTCGGTTTCAAATATTTGGAGGGCCATTACTCGTGGTGATTTTTACCAAGAGACCCTTTTTACATAAAAAACGTCGTAAATGTAAATTTTTTTACTCAGTAGTTTCAGATAGGTACGGAGGAAAAGTTATTACTCTTCATACTCTTCAAACCAGTTAAAAATATGGTGGCGCCCTCTACAAGTAGGAGTCATATTGACCTCTAAATAAAATTTTTCATGTCGAAAAACTCCTAGACAAAAATTTTCATTCAAATATTGACGTTACTTCAGAAATTATTTGGAAAAAATAGAAATAAAAATTAAACTTCTACACCGTGGATCTCCAAAACTAAGCATTTTAGGACATACATTTAGAAACTTTTTTACTTATTTTTATCTACAGAATATGCTGCCAAAGTTTCCGGAATACAGTTCTGACCATCCTGTATAAGAACCAACTCGTTGGTTGCTATGCTAATTAACCAGTTTTCTTTTGTTAATTTACTAAAAAAGTTCTGTCTTGAAACGAGCCTAGGTATTTCGCCACTGGAAGAAACATTTCCAGACTTGTTTCAAGGAAACGAACCTGTCACAAAGGCATAGACATTATTTAGAAAGTTGTGGTAATGTTAATAGCACTGGTTAAGTCCCCGACATTATGCTTTTTAAATTTTGTTTAGTTCTCTAGTAACTGAAAAATGAAGCTTGAACACTACAACACATAAATCAAATTAACACAAAGTGAAAAGCAAAGAAAGACCAAAGCGGTTAAAAGAGTCAGTAATGGTACGGAATTTTTTGTTGGTCACAAACAGATTACTAGAATTTCCGCTAGAATTGTGAAATCTTGCAACAAAAATCAAACAGCGCGGATATATTTACCATAGCTTTAGACTTTGATTTTAGCTTAGCCCGAAACCACGAAAATGCGCAAGCTTTTGATCATGAGTATTGCGCATTGATTCAAGAATTGCGTATTCTAAAACAGAATTAAACAAATTTTCTTGCAACGGTACATGTGGCTTAAAGATACACAATAATTAATTAATATTTTAATATTTCAGGAGATCCAACTTTATATGGAAATTTGAATCCGTCCCAAGAATCCATCGACGCCCTAGTAAAAGTTGTACAACAAGGAAAACACAATGGTTATTCACCAAGTATGGGACTACAAACAGCCCGACAAGCTATTGCAGATTTTATCAGCGTAGATGGAGCTAAATTTACTTCTGACGATATATTTATTTGTAGCGGATGCGCGTCATCCTTAGAAACGTCCATCACTGCATTGGCGGATCCATTTAAGGGCCAAAATATATTAATACCAAAACCTGGTTTTGGCGCTTACAAGTGAGTTTATATTTTTAAATTCGTTAAAAATCAGTTACAATCATATTTCCTGTAAGGGAGGTGGAAACTTATTTTATCTTAAAAGGGATAATTATATGCTGATATGTTGGTTTTACAACTTACAAGGAAGTTTACATTACTCAAACATCTTGCTTGTTAGAAGCAATTTGCCATTATTTGCTTAATAATATCTATTGTGCAAGGGAGAAACAGAGTCATACATAGTATACTGGAGTGTTAATGTAGATGTGACATTGAGTCATTTAGGCTTGTTTCTAGTAAGTTCTCTTAGGATCTTTTTAGGGCTATCTCGTTGCTATCATATTTTCTTTTGCTGATAATTTCATCTCCTAGATTATTAGGAGTCAATTCAGGAATTAATATTGTCGCGACCTAGCTGGGGTTGTTTGCTAGGGTCGCTATACCAGGTTCTCTCTCTCAATCAAAACAACCATTGAACAAAATACACATTTATTTAACATAAAGTTCACAGTATAATACAATTTTGGGGAATGCCAAGACTTAATGGTTTAGTTAACTAAGTACTTACAGGAACATCTTCAACCTGCGCTGTCTTCTGCTAACGGACTGATGACGCGAATTACTAACTGTATAATACGACTCACATCGATGGACTAACCCCCGACTCTCTTTAGCATACATTTTTATATTTTCTATCCCTCGTGGTCATCGCCGGTTACGTCGTTCAATCTGTTTTCGTCTAATTACATTCACCCGGCTATGACCATGAGGAAATCGAACTTTGGTAGCCTGCGTTTGACTATCGACCCGAGATTGTTGTATTTTAATTGTTTAATTATCAATGTTATTTAAAAACATATCTGTGTCGATGTCATGCAGGTAACCGATCTCTTGGGCCTATATCAAATTGTTTTTTCCCAATTTGATCTAAACCCAAGTTGACATCTATTTAAGTCTTGACATATCCCCCGGGCTTGGAGAGCTGGTCCCCAGCGATAAAAAAATATTCTATAAAGACTTAAATAGGAAACACACAATAAATTCTTTACAAATACAAAATAAAAGTTAATTACAATGCTACACTGATCCTGAAAGTCATGAAAAAAAAATAAAAAAAAAATATTTTTATCGTTTACTCTTTAGTCCTGTACAATAATAAGGGTCCTACTCGATACCACCCGTATTGAAGAAGTGCGTCGTCTTTGTACGTTGCGTCCGGTTGCGTCCATTTCAACCATAGACTTTAACCGTAGCTTATATCAGTTAAGTAATGCACACACCAACACTGCCTTTGCCTTTGTTTGACTGGTTGCCTTCTTATCTATCGCATACTTCTGTTCGTCCGCGCGCTTGGTTTCAATGTCAAACGGGCGACGGCCTTTTGAAATTGCTGGGATCAGCGGAATACTGGACAATTATTTTTCTTTTCTTCATTAGTGTACTGTTTTCATTCGAACCAAGCGAAATTTATTTGTTAATATTTCTTGGTTTTCTGGCTTCTCTGCGGTATTATGGGTTCAGTGGCTTGTTACTTCAACCATCCAAATTAGTTTTTTCTCCAGGCTGGTTATTGCTTCCATATCCGTATCAAAAATTTCCATACATCTCCAATCCATTGAAATTCGAGGCAAAAAGGCGAGCGGCGTGTTTAACATTTACTCAACTGAACAAAGCTTGTGATGCTGGAACGTTTCATCTTACTGGTGTGGTTGGTACGTGTTTCCAGACAGCAACTCATTTCTTCCTCCAACTTCTTAGTGTTGATTGTGGTATCGGCAGGTGTGATACAAATATTCATGAAGGATCAAAGAGTAAGTACTATATTTTATTCACATCTCTAATATCTAAAACAGAATAACATTTACGTTATCAACTATTCTTATTAGTTCCCTATTAAATATGTACAGTTTATGTTTGTCTTAAATATTTTTTTGAATATGCATTTGCTCAAAAAAAAATATATATATTAAAAATTGATAGTTCTAATTATTTGCTTAAGTTCCTTATATTTATAAGAAAAATAAAGATTTAAATTATGACTTTACTTATTACTATTTAATTAGTCGAGCTAAGCACTTTGTATTATTATTTATATTTTAAAATAGCCTCCAACTATTTGTACTTCAGCAAAAGTAGAAAAGTAAGTATTTATTATAACGTTTACATTTTCTTTTTATTTAGGACGAGGGGAAAATTATATATATATATATATATATATATATATATATATATATATATATATATATATATATATATATATATATATATATATATATATATAATATTCATCAAATATCTTATCTTGAGAAATTCAAAATTCGTTACAAAAATCGTTACGTATCTTTTTAATTCTGCCTACTACATTACATGTCCTTTATCTCCTAAGTGATGAAAGGTTGTTTGGAAAAAGTCGCGTGGCTTCTAATAACATGTTTTGTCAACATAGAAACATATACAATAAACAGTCTATAAAACAGAACAACATACATACATATTGACAAAACTATCGCAGTTTATTTTTCTTTTTTATTATGCTATAATATACTAAATAAATTATAAATAATATTGTTCCTGACTCGGGAAAAAAAATAATCAAATTCAACTAGTACCTCTAAAACGATCACGGCTTCCTAAAAAAAATAATGGGCATCTTAGGCCAAAATAGTCACGTGACGTTGATACTAGGAATAAAAATAACAACAAATCAACTAACAAAATATCATCCGAGCAGTAGTCTTTAAAACCAACGTAGCTATTTAATCCCTCCACCAGGAGCTGTAAATGTAGTAGGTTTGAGTATACTTTACCTCAGCTTACCTTGAAGTATTTCTTTTCTTCCTTTTTTTTTAATCCTTATTATTGCTTATTGTTAGAAAATAAATGTCACCTAAAAATACTCAAAAATAAATTAGTTTCTGTCTTTTATTGCAATCTTACAACTAAAAGTTAAAAAAAATAAATACTAAGTTTATTAAATAGTCTTTATCCGATCCTTTATACAATCATGCGTTTCTTGATTCTAATTTCAACTCTAAATATGACTCATAAGCATCGAGTCCAGGGAGGGTGGCTAGGGTGGATAATGATATCCTTCGCCATCTTGGCGTTTGGTCTTTTGGTCATCCAGGTATCCAGTGTCCTAGTTGTGCAAGAAATGGCTTGCTGGGGTCTAAATTCATCACGAGTTTCTTCTCTTAGAACGTTTGTTTTATGATCAAAATAGTCAAACTGTCGTCGGTTCCAACAAGGGTTGTCTAATAGACGTATACTTTTGCTTCTTATATGCGTAACTTCTTGTGTCGGAGGTATATCTTTATCTTCCACATTGTTAAAACAAAACATTGGTACACTTGAGGAGTTGCATTTCTCTTCTTCGAGAAAGAAAGGATTCCATTTTTCTATTTCATTTTCCCTAACATTGCCAGGGAGGGTATTCCACTCATCCTCAGCCGGCATAACTTCACTTGCAACAGGGAGGGCATCATCTTCCTCTACCTGTGCGAACTCTATTGCTACAGGGAGGGTATCATTCACTTCCTCTGCCTGTGCGTATCCCATTGCCACGGGGAGGGCATCACAATCTTCCTCTATCCGTGCACTTTCTAAATTGAGGGAATCCAAATCGTCCTCTTCACAAATATTCACACAATTCTCCTCTATCTCATGCTCCTCTGACACAATAAATATACCATCCATATCAGCTGTTTGTCTCTCAAACAGGGGTGGGTTTTGTTCAAAAATCCTGCTCTGGTAGTCCTCAACTAAGGGTGGGTTTTGTTCGGAACTCTTTGTCCGGTTATCTTCAATCAACTTTTGTTGTCTTCTCTCATAATTCGTATTAAAATTATATTCGTCTGTATTGTTATACCTATAGTTTTTATTCTCATGTCCTGATTTGCCTCTTACATTATCAATATCTTCAACCCTATGACCATTGTACGAATAGTCATGCTCTACCTGTCTTTTATTTCTTTTATTTGAATTTAAATAATCCGAATGTTGGACATAATTGCTATATTCATACTTATTTTCACTAGCTGAATTATCTATACTTGTTTTATCTTCGTAGAAATGGGACGAACGTGCCAACGTGTTATAATCTGAACTTCTGTCTTTTAGATCACTCACCTTGAAAATAATACTTTTTAACGCGGTAAAATCCACATCACGGCTTGACAACGTATAATAATATTTGTCATAAGATGGATGCAAACCGTTCTCAAAATAGTCTCTGAACTGATCAAAATTAATTTCATCATATATTTCTTGGAACATTGAAAGTAAGCCAAAGTAATAGTGTTTAATATCTTCGTTTGCATCCTGCTTACGTGAGCGCAATTTGGATTTTAGTTTTCTTATTGCTATATCACCGCCAAAATTTAAAATAAAATCTCTTTTCAGATCCGGCCAAGTTTTATGTAAATTATTTTTATTTTTCGCGTATTTTTCAAACCAAAAGACAGAAGCGTGTTTTAGATAACACTGCAAATATCGAATTTTATATGCACAATTCCAACCATTTCTATCAGTAATTTTATGGTAGTTAGAAATAAAAGACACTGGGCAATCGTACCTAGGGTCAAATGTAGGGGGTTCAACAAATTTAGGCAGAACTGGAAGTCTTTGAAATTCCATCATGAAAAATTTTAAAATAAAAAGTTTAGCTTGTTTAAAAATAATTAGTTAGAGAGTTTATGACATTGAAATATATCAAGAAATATTTAAATATAGACAAAGCCATTGGCATTTGAATGAAATTTGAACGTTAGAAAAATAATAAACAAATGTGGATGAGAATGTACTCATATTTCAAAATAAAACATGATGTGTAGGTCAGGGTGAAAACTACAGTCGTCAGCATTTTCCAGCACTTGACTTTATAAATAAATGTAATAAATAATATTCAAATAATATATAGGGTATTAAATTATTATGTGATACTTAATAAAAACTATAAAATAAAATATTCATACTATAATAGTAGATATAGGTTATTTAAATATTTATCAACTTAAATATACTAAAATTTAAAATCATTTCGTATATTTTACGAAAGCAAAAATCGGGCGACAAAATTGATATGCAAAAATTTAAATTTGACGAAAATTGCATATTGGATAATATTAATCAAAATAAAGAAACTATGTTAAAAAGCAAAAAACTAAATATATTTAAACCAATTCATTAAGTTAAAACTAGGACATTCTTGGCATACCCGGCGCCTCCACCATATGTCGCTACCTAGCTGGGGTTGTTTGCTAGGGTCGCTATACCAGGTTCTCTCTCTCAATCAAAACAACCATTGAACAAAATACACATTTATTTAACATAAAGTTCACAGTATAATACAATTTTGGGGAATGCCAAGACTTAATGGTTTAGTTAACTAAGTACTTACAGGAACATCTTCAACCTGCGTGTCTTCTGCTAACGGACTGATGACGCGAATTACTAACTGTATAATACGACTCACATCGATGGACTAACCCCCGACTCTCTCTTTAGCATACATTTTTATATTTTCTATCCTCGTGGTCATCGCCGGTTACGTCGTTCAATCTGTTTTCGTCTAATTACATTCACCCGGCTATGACCATGAGGCAATCGAACTTTGGTAGCCTGCGTTTGACTATCGACCCGAGATTGTTGTATTTTAATTGTTTAATTATCAATGTTATTTAAAAACATATCTGTGTCGATGTCATGCAGGTAACCGATCTCTTGGGCCTATATCAAATTGTTTTTTCCCAATTTGATCTAAACCCAAGTTGACATCTATTTAAGTCTTGATAATATTAAACATTAAACAATCTTAATTCTGTTATTGTTAGGAAGCCTCGCCTCACTAGATGTTAAATTTACACTTTCAAACTATAAGAACTTCTTGCGGAATTGTGCCATACACTAATTATTTATTAACTAAAAAAATAGGATACAAATACTAAATTACGTCATATTCCGAAGAACTAGCTGATTATAATGTACCAACACTTCGCCAGTATTTTTTGTTTCAAGCGTCAGTAACACCGACGTCTTCCTGAAGTAGGAAACTGCCTCTTAGTATTGAAAGATTTATTCGATGTTGTTTATCTCGAGATAAATTGACAATATAAAATACAATAACCTCTAACGTTAGAGCATTCAAAAATTGTATACTGATTTATTTATTTCCAGAACCTTAGCTGTAACCATTAACGTAAAAGTGAAAAGCTACGACTTGATACCTGAAAAGAACTGGGAAGCAGATCTTAACCAATTAGAGTCACAAATCGATGACAAAACCACCGCTATTGTTGTAAACAATCCTTCGAATCCTTGCGGAGCAAATTACAGCAAACAACATTTGCAACGCATATTGGATATAGCTTCACGGTAAGTTTGTATTTACGTTAGTTTCTTATTTGTTATCACTTTCAATAGTCTGTCTTTTGCCGTTATATGATTAATTAATTGAAGTAACGATATCCACTTATTTATTTATTTATTTATCCCAAACACACAAATCGTGTAATTATATGATCAAAGTGAGATATCCTCTGTGGTATAGGAGTTTTTAAAACCATTTGTTTTTATATAAAGTATTGTCTGTGTTATTATTATTATAGCGCCTTTTCTTTTGTCATAGCTTTTTTATAGCGACTTGTTCATTTGATGTTACGAAAAAAGAAATACTACACTATATTCTTCATTCCCAGCTAAATATCTCAAAGACCGGTAACGCTAGATTTATGAAATTTTGCTTATGTGGTATGTTGACAATCGCGGATTCAAAAACAGCTTAAACCGGTATATTTTGTGCCTTTTGGATTCTACAGTATTTCCCCGGATTCTCTACAAGAGGAAAACTTTTTCATTATTTTTTGGAGAAAAATGCATTCTTCATAAAAGAATGTTTCAAATTCCAAATTTCTATACTACTGTTTTTGAGAAAAATAAAAAAATATAAAAAGACAGTTGATTTTTTTGCAAAAACTCCGTTTCTATGGTAATATCATTTTTAGGATTTCATTCTTCGATAGTTGGTTATTATATTAATCTTTACTAATGTCATATTGTCAAAAAAGTCCTATGGGTATTTCGACACTGTAAACAATTCTGCAAAATAAAATAGTTATTTATGGTAAACACTGCTGCGTTAATCCAACGGACCAGTTTGTCAGCATTTATTTACTAATAAACAAATTTGCCTAACGGACAAAAAAATGCTTTCAAGAAGTATCTCTTCCCGTCGTCCGTCGGAAGCAAAAAAAACACAAGGAACAAAGAAAAAATCTATTTAATAATTGAAGTAAAGATTTCAGTTAACGTCTCCTTTTTGCTGCCAGGGCTAATCTGGACGGGGCCTGTTTTGTTTACGCGTAATCCGAACCGCGGCCCTCGGCCATATCATGGTCAATGGCCTACCGACTTCGCAAGTGTCTAAGGCCCGTATCTATAGTTGCGTCTCGAGACGCCAAGACGGTCTTGGGCTCTTGAGAGCGGAATCCACAGAATACACGAGCAAACGTCATTTTGGAGATTGCGATTTTCATTTTGGAGATTGTCATTTTGGATAGTTTATGTGATCTGTGGATAGTTTCTTAACCTAACTTTTTTAGTAAACAAAATAAATCCCTTGTAAATCCGTTTTGTCTGATTAAACAGTTTTGAATATGTTAGATGAGTTTGAGAATATTTTGGACCATGTGGAAGAAGAAAATCGTCTTCGAGTTCCAAAACGATATATAAGGTATGCAGGAAATCCAAGAGAAACGTTTAGCGAGGGGAATTTAAATATCGATATAGGTTTAGCAAGGCTACAATTACAGAAACTATTTTACCTCTTGTAATTGAAGACTTGCAAAACCTACCAATCGTGGTTTACCTATTCCCTCCGTTATTCAATTACTAATTTGTTTACGGTTTTATGCGACTTCTAATTTTCAAATAGTAAGTGGAGACTTGCATGTTGTTAGCCAACCTACAATAAGCCAGATTATCAAGAGGGTGTTCATTTTAATAGCAGAACATTTGAGTGAATTTGTGTGATACAACCATTAATGGTTGAACAGCATTATTATTCCAATGATACTGACTTCGGCTTGTGCAAATGATGACAACAAATGGGATACATATATTAAGAATCTAGAAAGAGCTATAAATACATCTGTGAATAAATTCACTGACGAAAAAAACACCTGAATTATTATATGGATATATTCCGAGGATTGAAGATTTATTTGAAGATGGACAAGTGAGGTTATTGACAGTAGAGAATGAAAAGTACTCGATTACCTGAAAAATTGAGAGAAGAGGTCAAAGAACATATAGAAATGGAACAAAGGAAGTATAAAAAAAATTTATAGGCTAGCAGACTAGCAAAAAAAGAAGAGAGAAGAATGTCATCTAGACGAATGAATCATAGAATGTGTATTGTGAAATATTATTTAAAATAAAACTATGAAACATGGAGTATCGACTTTATATAGAAATCTTGAAAATTATAGGTATATGGTGTATACATCCAATATTGTATATTATGTGATATGATATTTATGTAAATATTCATAATGAAAATAAAAAGACAATTTTTTTAGTTTTAATGTATTAGCGGGAAAATTCTGTATGACCAGTTAAAACAAGCACTTAGCTGTCTGGTCATAGTGAGCATAAAACTACTAAGAAATCATATATTATTTAAGTATAGAAAAACAGTATTTTTAAGATAACTAATAAAAGACTATAAGAAATTACTTAAATTATTAACACTAATTTAACACTAATAGAAAAGTAAATAAAATTATTATATAGGTACTAGTTACCTGGGAACATCACTTAACATATTACATAATTACTAGATATACATATGTTAATACAATAAATACATTAATTTACAAAATGTTGAATAAGATTTCTTCAAAAATCTAACCCTCTTCCTTTTTATTTATAATTGGAATGTGTAAATTAGCATCTTCAAAATTATCTAAATTTTCCCTTAAACCAATATGAAGAACAGCTGTTGCACAAATAATAGCAACAGTTGTTTTGTAAACCTTGGAGACATGGAAGATGTTTTTTACAAGTCCCAAATAGCCTTTCACATTTCGCATTCTTCTATGGGCAAAGTTATACCTGGTTTCTTGTTGATTACCTAGCTGTAGAACAGGAGTCAATAGAAATGGCCTACATCTATATGCATTGTCTCCAAGAAGTAAATCAGGAATATCACCCCTTTCCATTAGCATTCTCAATTACTTCGATCGAATATAACACCTTGACCCTGGATATCCAACTATAATATCCATAATTTCCCTTTTGGGACCTGAACATTTAGACTAAAAAAACGTTTGCGATTTTGAAATACTTCCACATTATTGCATTATTCTTGATTATCTGGCTTATTGTAGGTTGGCTAACACCACACAAATCTTCATTTACCATCTGAAAATTACAATTCGCATAGTATTCATCAGTCATCATAGTAATTGAATAACGGGGAGAATGGGTAAACCACGATTGGTAGGTTTTTGCAAGTCTTCAATTTATAAGAGGTAAAATAGTTTCTGTAATTGTAGCCTTGTAAAACCTATATCGGCATAAATCCCCCCTCGTTAAACATTTCTATTGGATTTCCTGCATCCCGTATATATCTTTTTGGAACTCGAAGACGATTTTCTTCTTCCACATGGTCCAAAATATCCTCAAACTCTTATAACATATTCAAAACTGTTTAATCAGACAAAACGGATTTACTTTGTTTACTAAACAAATTAGGCTAAGAAACTATCCACAGATCACATAAACTATCCAAAAAGACAATCTCCAAAATGAAAATCGCAATCTCCAAAATGACGTTTGTTCGTGTATTCTGTGGATTCCGCTCTCAAGAGCCCAAGACCGTCTTGGCGTCTCGAGACGCAACTATAAATACGGGCCTAAATCGATTCTTACTCACGAGATATCGTGAGTAAGAGCCGATCTCAACCGGCCTCGAACCGGCGTGAATGAGCAGTGTGTGTCAATAGATTTTACACTTTTGCCTTATTTGGACAACAGCACGATACGAGTTTCGAACCGGTCACCCGTCCATCCACTAGTATCGCCCTAACCTAACTAACCTAACATGTGTTTCGACGTAGCTGGGCCGTTGCCCTAATAATATCTAGATACAACTATTTAATAATATCTAAATACAACTATTTAAGAACACTTTAGTTTTTTTTTCAACAGATACGTCTATAAAAATCGTTAACGTTCTGTTAAAATTATACAGGGTAGTCCGAACTGTATTCCGGAAACTTCGGCAGCGTGTTCTGCAGATAAAAATAAGTAAAAAAGTTCGTATAAATGTATGTCCTTAAATGCTTAGTGTCGGAGATACAGGGTGTAGAAGTTTCATTTTTATTTCGATTTTTTCCAAATAATTTATGAAGTAACGTCCATATTTCGATGAAAATTGGTGGATAGGAGTTTTTTGACATGAGACATTTGATTTTCATGTCAACATGACTTCTATTTGTAGGGGGCGCCACCTACATGTATTTTAACTGTTTTGAAGAGTAATAACTGTTCTTCCGTACCTGTATAAAACTAGTGAGTAAAAATATACATTTACGACTTTTTTTTACGTAAAAAAGGTCTCTTGGTAAAAATCGCTACGAGTAATGGCTTTCGAGATATTTTAAATCAAAATTATCAATAGGTACCTGTCATCATTGACATAAATTAAACATGTTGACTAAATAGTTATTAGACTGAAATCATGTTTTTGAATGTTTTTGTGCCAAAAGTTCAACAAAAACTGTTTTATCATATCATTTTTTCGCAGAAAAAATTATGATTAATTTAATAAAATAAAAATTTCACAAATTTATTGTTTCAGTCAAATAACTATCTACTCAACGTGTTTATTTTTTGTCAATAATGACATGTTGACTATTTCCATTCTAAATATTTTGAGAACGGTTACTGGTAGCGATTTTTACCAAGAGACATTTTTAACGTAGAAAATCACGAAAATGTATATTTTTCACTCAGTTATTTCATACAGGTACGGACGAAAAGACAAAAACACATGTAGGTGGCGCTGTCTACAAGTAGGAGTCGTCATATTGACATCAAAATCAAATTTCTCATGTCAAAACACTCCCAAATTGATTAATGATCCTTTTTCAGGCATCGCGTTCCTATAATAGCGGATGAAATATATGAAAAATTGGTTTATCCAGGAAAAAAATTCGTATCCTTAGCTTCTATGGAAACAGATGTGCCCATACTAGTCTGTAGTGGACTGAGTAAAAGCTTATTAGCACCTGGATGGCGACAAGGTTGGATCGCGGTTTGTGATAGAGCAGGCGTAATGACGGAAATAAGACGGATTTTGGAAAGTCTGGGCCAAAGAATTAATGGAAGTAATAGTTTGGTGCAGGTAATTTTACACTATTAATGTACAGGGTATCCCACTAAGAATAGCTCTCGGCTGTATCTGGGAAAGTATTAGCCGTAGAGCCTGCGGAAAAAAATATTTATAGCTAAAGAGGCTATTATAAATTGCTGGAAATTATTTTCAAGTTTGTAGAACGGCCGCTAGAGGGCGCAACTGCTATGGAAAATAATTTTTTATTTTCTTTATTTAAAGCAAGTAATAGCTTTATTTAAAGCTATTACTATAAATAATAATAGCTTCATAATCTTCAGTAAATTTTAGATTTTTTTTTTGTTAGAACCATTTTCCCCTACCTGCTAAATTAAAGTGGTGGGGGAAGGTTAGATCTGTCTCTATTTAAATGTAAATAACTCCGGACTGGATGATCAGAATCCAACAAACGAGGGCTCGTTTAAAAGAGAGTTCCTTACTATATATACACCATAAAAATAATAATAATAAACTTTTGAACGTAGACACTAGGGGGCGCTGTCTTATAATTTAACAAACATTCCGCGTTTTTTCAAACAAATTAAATGCGATAGTATATTATGATATTTTAGTTGATAGTAAAGAGTAATAAAAGCTTAAAAAGCTATATTATTTTAGCTGATAGCTTGTTATAAAAATAAGATAATTAAGGGATTATTTTTTCGTATTTACTATAATTTTGTTAATATCTTCGGTTTGCAAGAACATATCAAGATGCGGTTTCCGCTGACTTTTTAAGCTTTTATTACTCTTTACTATCAACTAAAATATCATAATATACTATCGCATTTAATTTTTTTGGAAAAACGCGCAATGTTTGTTAAAATGTAAGATAGCGCCCCCTAGCGTCTACGTTTAAAATCTTACTATTATTATTTTTATGGTGTAATATAGAGTAAGGAACGCTCTTTTAAACGAGCCCTCGTTTGTTGGATTCCGATCATCCAGTCCGGAGTTTGGTGGTTGGATACCAAATTAATAAAGCTATTATGTATATAGTCTGTCCAACGAGAAGATCCTTGACAGTGATAGATGTGTCTGTCATTTTAATTTCAAAGTAGTTTATTTTATTTTACAAAGAAATAAGTTGGTACAACTGGAACGCATAGCAGGAAATTATTATATTTAAAATTTGACTGACAAGTGATTACTTCAAAATATTGTGAAAAAAACTGTATAAACCTGAAAAAATGTAATAGAGTTATTTAATTTAATAAAAACGGTATGTGTTAATACAAAACAAACAAGAACAAGACACCACATACCAAAAAAATATAAAAAAGAACTACTTCTTACTATCAAGCTTTATGAAACTTCCCGCATTTATGATTATATTTATCAATATAACTTATGAACAAATATAAATTTGTAATATTCCGCAGGAATAAATAAAATAACATAAATAAAACAAACTATTTTATTATTAATAACACTTACCATATTTTATGGGTACCTTAAAAGTTGATTAATTAACTTTAATCTTATTTTTTTAAACCAGTACCTTTGGCATTATTTTTCTTGTGCAGTACTAAAATCCATTATTTACGTATCGTGTGATGTCGATATTTTACAGCTACTCCAGTTTTTAGTATGTATTTAGTTAGTCCTTCTACCATATTCGAGATGCACTTATCTACGACGAGATGGTATACGAACTTTAATGATGGTAACTTTATTGGTGTATAAGACTTTTTGCCTGGGCAGCGAGTATTAAGGCTGATTCATGGTACACCGGGCCGTACCCGAGCCGGGCACGTTCCGTAAAGTAGACACGGTAGTAGAAGCTCGGCCCGTGCTCGGCTTAGCATGAATGCATAGGTATAAATACCATTTGACAATGTTTGGCCGTGCCTTCACCGTCGCACGGCCCCGGCCCGTCACGGTGTACCATGAATCAGCCTTTAACCATAAACTGTGCTCTGGGTCTAGAGTTAATTTTCACTTGATTTTTCCTCCACTTGACTTCAAAAAACACAAAACACACGTAATAACACGAATCAAAATGCATCATCTTCCAAAACGCAGGGTATTTCACAAAACTGACAAAAGTTGACACAAAATTATAACCTCTAATTTGGCAAGACTTTGATAAGCGTCAAAAATCTAAAGGCGAGTTTATACGCATCGGCGTCCGTTTGTCGTTCATCGTTCCGTCAAACCTGGTCAAACCAGTAAAATTGAAATACGATCTGTCATTTTTGAAATAAACCAATAAAACTGGTTAAAAACAACAAGAGACGACGCATGACGGATTTATATTTAAACCCATCCATAGTTAACTTAAAAATTATTAGAAACTTTTTTTAGTAAAATAAATAGATTGGTATGGGACGTCATCTGCTTTTCTTCTGTCATCGTCTGTCGAAGTCTTACCTGAGAAAAAAAACAGAGTATAGTACATCTTATCTAGGCAAAATTCTCTAAAAATTCTATTTTCTTATTTTCCATAACAGTTGCGCCCTCTAGCGGCCGTTCTACAAAGTTGAAAATAATTTTCAGTACAATAAATTTCTCATGGACTCGTTAGTAACAAATATATTTTCCGCAGGCCCTACGATTAATACTTTCCGAGATACAGCCGAGAGCTATTTTAAGTTGGCGAGCTATTCTTTTCTTATTCCAGCAATAAGTCCAAGTATTTTAAGGGGTAGTAGATCTGGCCAAACGAAACATATTTTCTTTACCATTTATTTTACCATTTTTAACCCGGCGTTAGTCGCTAAACATATTTTCGCGCCGTTAGTCGCGCGTGAGCATTTTGCTCACACCGCAAAAAACGCGTTTTTATAAAATATTTAGAAATTTTTATTAAAAACGCATGATCTTATTGAATTCTCTATTAACAGAAGGTAATGTAATGTCAGAGTTGAATAACCTTAGACATTTAAACACTTGATTTATCTGTGTTTATACAACCAGACAACCACCAAATCGGTTGATCTGTTCGAATAGTCCAAACGTTGACACGTAATAGTAATACATCAATCTAGTAAAGACCATAAAAGCCACAAAACAATTTAAAAAATTAAAAACAACTAACTGATTCACTGATAACAGACTGCGACCTTTTCAGATCTATTGTGGTCCTGTTCTCATCCTTAGGTTACGCTCCACATTCCTATCCTTTTCAAAAAGTCTAGCAACTTGGAGACCGAACCCTCCATAATAGCTCTGTCATTGCCTAGTACAAAGAACCTTACATTTGTCAGGCGGTCGCATCAACATAAAATGTGTCCTGTCGTTTCTTCTTCAGACTGACAGAACCTGCAACTGACTTCGTCTGTCAATAACATTAGCTTTAGATGTCTATTTAGCTTGCAATGCCCTGTTAATAGACCCACTACCATAGACTAATGTCATGTACTAGAGAAAGATTGGACACTGATATAAAACAAATAGGTCTGTCGTTTAGAGCCACCTGTTGATCCGGAAGAAACTAATGGAGAGTTTTGGCATTAGATAATTTTAGCGTTCCGTTACTTATTAACGCTAATTAAAACGGTAACGTTATTCAAGCGCAAAACAATTTATTTAAACACAATTTATTTACACTAAGTAACAAACAATAACGATTAAAAGACTTAAAGAACTATATACCTCTATGAAGCCGGTTCTTCATTCTTCTCCTTACAACGGCTTTGCACGTGTCCTACCTGTCCGCAGTTCCAGCAACGAATCGGTCCCTTCTTGCCCATGTACTGGTCCATTACTTTCCGAACAATCCTTTCCACGGATTCGTCGGAACACTCGTCGATGGCCCGTACTCTCCCTAAAGACCGAGAACTTTGTTTCGCGGCCTCAAATTCTAGGGCACGTGCTAAAGCATCCACCAAGTGCGTTGGATGTGCTAGAAGAAGCGCTTGCCTTGTCTCCTCGTTGTTACGTAAGCCATCGGAGAATGCCTGTACTGCCAACCGCGCCATAACATTCTCGGGCGTAGCAGGGTACACAAGGCGAACGAGGCGGGTTACATCGGCTTCAAACTCCTGCAAAGACTCATTTGGCTTCTGAATGCGATTTTTGATCTGGGAATGGTAAACATGCTCTAAATGAGTCTGGCCGTACCTCATTTCTAAATGTCGTACCAATTGCTGATAATCTCCCTGTTCCGATGGTGAGAGTTTCTGCAGGATGTCAGTCGCATCTCCTCGTAGTGCGATAGTCAAAGCGGTAGCTTTTCAGCGATTGTCCAGTCGTTCGCTCTTGCAGCGGCTTCAAATTGATAAAAATAGTTGGCCCAAGCGGTTTTTCCGTCAAACTGTGGAGGTTTCATAACTGACTTTGAGGCATACTTATTTTCGGCTATTTTGGAGTCCTCCGATAATTCTTGACATTTTGGTGAATTTGCTTTCGCTATTTCTTCTCTCAAAAGTTCTATTTACATGTTTCTCAATCTCTGTTATTTTGTCATGTAGTTCCGTAGAATTCTCTATAATCTTATTGTTTAAATTTTCTTCTAAATTAATTATTTTATTATTAAAGCTGGCCTGTAAAGCTTTAGAATTTTCTATGATAATATCTTCTAATTTTTGGGAATTCTCACTGATTTTATTATTTAAACAATTCAAATTGTCGTTTAAGTTTTGTAAGGACGAGTCAAGGTCCAACTCAAAGCAAAATGTCCTCAACTTCCTCCACCAAAACGTCTCTCAGTCTAGCTTGCAAAATGCTTTTCTTTCCATCTGTCTCGCACTCTCTCTCTCTTCCAATATGCATTTTAGTTCGGACACTTTCAAGTTTTTCAACAATTTTTTCGGAGCCATTGTCAGTTTTTTTATTTTTCTAGTCTATCACACACACCACACTTGACACCAATTGTTACATTTTTCGTCGGTTTCGTGTGGATAGAAAGTCACAATTTATTTAAACACAATTTATTTCACTAAGTAACAAACAATAACGATTAAAAGACTTAAAGAACTATATACAAACTATTTATAACTATTTATCTAGAAAGAATTTATTTTTGAATTTAGCGCGACAACTGTATTCGTCTTCCTCAGGCCCGGGCCGTCGACTTTTATACCCACAGCTAAAAAGTTCTCGAATAATCCATAGAACATTAAGTGCATAGGGTATATTGGTGCAAGGTGCAAACTTATTTATGTTTAAACTATTTTTTTATTTGGTTCATAAATGTGTTATTTCTAAAATGCCAAAATTTCTTTAATAAAAAAGTTTAGTATCTAACACGAAAATGATGATCGACTGTAAATATTCAAAATGCATAAACAGAAACTACAAATCGCTTATCTACCCACGCATCCCTTTGGCATGGTCTCGGATTTAAGTTTTTGTAGAGGTTGTCTCCTGTTGGTTCTGATTTGGTTCAGAGGGGATTCCCTCTAGCACCTGACTAGGAGCTTCCCTACCAACGACATAGACTGACATCTCCTAGAGAAAATGCCGTTAAATAAATGCTATTTTTAAGTTTAATAATAAATTAGATTATTCATTTCCAGGGTGCCATTCCAGAAATACTTCAAAATACACCACAATCTTTCTATGACGACGCAGCGGCTAAATTGGAGAAGCAAGCCAAAGTCGTTTATGACAGACTGAGTCACGTGAAGGGCTTAACACCTTATATGCCGGAAGCGGCTCTATATCTTGTAGTTAAGTTTGATTTAGAGAAATTTCCAGATCTTCAAAACGGTCTTGAAATCACAAAGCAACTGTTGAATGAAGAATCCGTGTTTTGTTTACCAGGAGAGGTAATATTTTCATTTATAATTAACATAAAGAAAAATTGGTTTTAAATAATAATTTTCATAAAAATGTTTTATAATTCTACCTAAATTGTGCTTCTTATTTTAAAATTGATACAAATAGTGCCACGCCTTTTCTAATTTGAAGTTCAATAAAACACAAAGTTTACTTAATCTGAATGAGTTGCATAGAGGCCACTAGCTTTTTAATTTTAACAGCCGGGTGGTCGGGGTTCAAAGATATTAATAAAAGGGCGCCACGAGATTATACTCTATGAACTCGGCATAAAAGATGTTACTATTAAGTAGACTTCAACACTAACCTCGAACTGTTGAGTGCAACTATCATGAACTTCAAATATTCTATAACTATTTGTACTTAAGTGACTCTAACTTAACTATGAGACTAGACTGTAAATAATACTACTAACTATATTTAAGCGATTTATTAAAATATTAAAAAGTTAAATATTTAAAGAAATGGAAATGAATAAACGTTGAAAATTAGAATAAAATTTAAATCAAGAAAACTAACTAAAAGTATGACGTCATAATCCCCCTTACTTAAACTAAGTACAATATCCTGGGTGGATTACAAATATCAAACTAAATCTAAACTAAGACTCTACAGTCTTACTCTATTCGATTGTACTTGAAAACTTCCTCCGGCTGAGCTACGATGTATAGCTACAGGGTGGCTACAGCGGTGCACAGCAGCTCGGTGTACTGTCACTGGAGCCCACGGATGTCAGCAGACGTACGGATGCCGGGCAGGTGTAGGGCTTTAAAAGGTGAACATAATAACCCTCGACGAGGCTTTATAATGTCCAACGGGTAACTCTACACACGGGCAACAGGAACGGATGGAATTCTGGACTGTTCTGTGCTGTACGGTCTGGATCGGTCTTCTTGCTCTTGGAACTATTCGGGGACTTCTTGGGCACGTGGAATCGGGATATCGGTCGGAAAAATTAGGCTATTTTAATCCCATTGCGGAAATTGGTCGGCGGTCCATAAAAATCATGAAAATCCAACCACGTCTCTGACCAAAGGTGTTTCGGAAGCCTTAATCCTTCTTTACGAAGACCTGCTATTCACCAATAGGGAATGCTTCATGAAACGGCAGCCAGTTCTTCACGACGATATTCTCGGTCGGGGAGTACACAAGAAGTGATGCAAGGATTCGATTTCCTTCACAAAATCAGATTTCAGCCGGAAATCTCCCTCCAGGATATAGATAGAGAACTATATATCTTGACTAGTCCAACTCACTCACAAAAAGGCATAAATAAAAAATGTATGTTCTAGAATATTTTCTTCTCAGCCATATTCCATATCCGGTCAATGAACAAACTTAACTCAGAAATTCCACAATTAAATGAACGAATTGCACACTGCGATCCACATCAAAAATAACCAATTTAACTACGAAATTTTATCTGATAATTATAAAATTTCAATAACCAAAACAAAGGATAAATAAATCCAAAAACATCTGATTTGATCTGACAGTGACAAGTGATGACCAAAGATAAAGAGAGGTCGACAAAAATTCTAATGCCGGGCGGCCGTTTCCAGTGACGATATTGTTGAGCTTATGGAGTGTAGAGGTAGTTGAGCTGTAGCTTGTATAATATCGCGGTGTATATTCGGTTGCGTCATAAGTAAAATACTAAATAAAATAATATTTAACAATAAAATTATAGTAAACATGATGCAAAAATAATAGCTATTTGCGATATTTTATGAGCTAGCACACAGAGGTCGTTGCGAGGAAATTTGACTGTTACAATAGCTAAGATTCCAGAAATTTAAAAGTATCTAAGGAAAAAAATTACAATTCTAGATAAAAAATGTCAACAATAATCAACTTTATTTTTTCTTATAGGCGCCATATTACATTTTTTCACATCAAAATAGATTAATTCTTTGCGATTCTAAGTTCTAAGGATGTATAACAAGTTAAAAATATTTAGTGACTTTAACGCATTTAGAGCCCAAATAATTCCAGAAAAAGTAGAGTTAATGATGATGGAGAAAAGACTACCACAAATCTGAAAACACTGTATATCCTGTAGTTAAGCCGGAAAAGAGTGAAAAAGAACGCGAGACAAAAATAAAATCGTAATCTTCAATTTTCGGTTTTTCTCGAATATTTCCGGAACCACTTGGAATTTTAAATGTTTCTAAATGCAATGTATTATTAAGCACATTAATGCACAACTTTGTCAATTTTTGAATGTTTGCCATCCTCGTATCTTCTATAGTTTTTGAGATTCCAACAGTTGGTCGAATATGAATTTTCCTGTAAAATCTTCAGTTTTTCAATCAAATTTCGATACCAAGCCTGGTATACCTACCGTGTGGTACATCGGAACGCGGGACATAGGAAATCCCATGTAAATTTTGAAAAGGTCAAATATTATCCCCCCAGATGATTTTATGCAAAAATTGTATTAGTGGACGGCCACACAGAAAGCGTTTTTTGAGTTTTTAGCGTGAAGCGTCTTTTGCGTCTAAAACAAAATAACAGGATTATATAGGAGTGGCCCCACCAAAAGCGTCTAGCGGTCGGCGTGTCTCGCAAAAAACGCAAATAAAAACAAATCAATTTGTTTTCTGTAGCGTCTTTAGCGTTTTCTATGAGACCCCGTCATAGGCGAACGTAATATTTAATAATACAATAAAAATAAATTAAATAGCAATAGCATTTTTTCCAGTTTAGGATATTATCTAAAAATATTTTTATAGAGAATATCTACGGTTTAGGAAGATTCTATTAATGAAATGTTGAAAAAGTAATAAATTAAGGGAATATTTTCTTACGCGTAAAAAATAGTTTTTTATGCGTAAAAAGTGTTTTTTTCCTGCGTAAAAAAGGTTTTTTTTAACAGAAACAAATGGTTTTGACGCGTAAAAATTAGTTTTTTACGTGTAACAAATAGTTTTTTACACGTAAAACATATTTTTTTTGTGTAAAAAAGTTTTTTTACCAGAAACAATAAGTTTTTGACGCCTAAAAAAATAGTTTTTTACGTGTAACAAATAGTTTTTTAAACGTAAAAAATATTTCTTTTTGCGTAAAAAAGGTTTTTTACCAGAAACAATAAGTTTTTGATGCGTAAAAAAAATAGTTTTTTACGTTTAACAAATAGTTTTATACGCGTAAAAATAGTTTTCTACCAGTAAAAATAGTTTTATACGCGTAAAAAATAGTTTTTTACATATAACAGTTTTATTCGCGTAAAATAATAAAAATAGTTTTTTACGTGTAACAAATGGTTTTTTACAAGTAATAATTTGATTCATTTTTTAAAAATTTGTATTAAAATATAAATATTTTTGATAAACACGTAGATTGCTCACAAATACACGTCGCGTCACTACGTATTTCTAAGCCGTTAACACGTTTCGTTAGAAGTAGCTCGTCTGTCAGGGCCGTCTCGCTGGCTCGTATGTCACGGCCTTGAATGTTTACTCTCAGCGCGCGTAAAGAAGTTTTACTTCAAAAAGTTTTATAAATCATGTCCTAAAATTGCGTTAGCAACTAGTATTATATATTTACTATTCTATTATATAATTATAATTCTTTATTATATTATATTATATTATATTATAATTACAACAAGTAACCACAACAATACAACATAAAATAACTATACACATATAAACTAAAATTCGTAAAATAAATGGCAAATTATTATTTTTGCACACACCACTGGCACTAGCAGTAGATTGTGTTTGTCGCCGAATATATGCCCCGGCGTGTCCACAATTCAATCCCAGCATCTTTTATCTTCGTCTCTTCAACGCTAACCGCGCCGATCTCGCCTATCTCTTTCTCACAGGATTGATTGTTGAACGGGCCGGGAATCCACGAGCTTGCCGCGTCTTTTGCGTGTTTTTAATGGACACAAATCGAAAAAAACGCTTAAAACGGTGAAATCGCAAAAAGCGCTTGAGACGCAAAAAACGCAAAACGCTAAACACGCTTTCTGTGTGGCCGTGGGCTTAGACTTTTTTGAAGAGGCGTTAAACTGTTGTACTGTCGTCTAGTTAATATATGTATACCGGGTGCGCCTCGAAAGTGGCTCACCCTTATAACTTTTTTATTTTTTTCAGATAAAAAAACGAGATTTTGTATGTTAGTATATGACATAAATCAGGATTGATTGACATATTCAATTGTTTTCAATTATCAAATTATTCGTAAAAAAAATGCTTTTTCCAAATATGCTAATGAGCCACCCTCGTTCAATTTGGAAAAATTGAGATATGATTAAAAATACGATATGCGGGCATCTTTTAACCGGCCAGGACAAGACACTAAAACATTAGACGTTCAAATCTAAATAAAATACAATTTGTTTTTGTGTGAATATGTCAAAAATTGGGCTACTTATTTTAATTTGTGGCTACTTTTTTGGCTATTTGCTTTTCTATATCTATTTAAACTAAATGTGATAAATAAGCTGTGTGGCATGTCCTTGCTCCGTTTCTCTGAACCTGTAACCATGCCATAACCATTGCTGTTTACCTATAAAAGTAATGCGGGCCGTACACACCTAATAGCTTAAGGCCGTTAAACGAAAAAAAAAGAAGAAGAAAGAAGATGCAGTTACTTTAACCTAAAACCTTTTAATTAAATTGAAATCTTAAAATTAATGGATATTGCAAGTCTAACCAAGAAACTAAGAAAAAAGAAATTATTTTGGCAAGCTATGTATCAATGCATACATCCATACGCAGCATTGACCATTTGACTGATATTATTAATATAGGTTGGAGTTCACCTTCAACTTCACAAGATGATGATATAATTCGGCTTCATCGAACCAAATGTACAGCTCTGATTCGGAATGTTATAGCACCATCTTTATTATTAGAATTAATTAAAGATGTAGGAGACTCAGCATTTTCCATTATATTAGATGAGTCTCTTATGGTAGCGAGTAAGTACTCATTTATGGTCCCGATAAGTGACAGATCTACTTCAGGGATGCGCC